CAGCAGGAAGCAGACATGGCCACCAACATCCTTGTAAATTGAATTAGTCTCCTGGAGGTGTCTGAATCACTTCTAATATCCACTTCACCAAATTGAATAAAATACTCTAGTGAAAGAGGTTAAAAAAGGATCCCAGGCTTTCATACAGAATGCAAAATGCAGCTCTTGCTTGAAACACCCACAATTTGTGAAAACACCTAGAAAAAGGGAGTGCCGGATTAATACAAACCCTGTGAACAATGCAGAAACTCCTTGTGCTGCAGGAATCATTTCACTGAAGTGCAGGCTGGACACACATGGGCAGCCACAGAAAACAGACAAAACGCACCCAAAGGGGAGCGCTGAACTAGTGGTGTCACTAAGCTTGGTTCTGAATGTTGAAAATTAAAAATAGACTACAAATTTTAAAAGCAACAGTTTTTAATGAGGTTTTAATTCATACAGCATATTAGCTGGGTACTAGAAACCAGTCTTTCTGTCCACTGTGAAACGGATTTCCATGTGTGAGTAAACAGTGTTTCGCTGAATTTTTGTACTTACGAAATAACCCGGCAAAGGAGGCCCATTAGAGCAGGTGGGGCTGGCCTGGGCTGACCTGTTGGAGCCCCACGATGTTGCCTGCCTCTGGGAAATAGGTGTGGGGTTTGTGTCAGCCCCCTGGCGCCAGCGGTGGGTGCCCTCTCCTGGGTCGGTCACCAGTACAGGTGCAAAAATGGTGAACAAGCAGAAAGCCAGGTGCATTGGTGGATCTTAGCTGGACTGGTGTCATGACATAGCTTTTCTTTTCCTTCCTTCCTTGCTTCCTTCCTTCCTTTCTCTCTTTCTCTCTTACTTCCTCTCTTTTTTATCTCCTTATGTCCTTCTCTCCTATCTCTTCTCTCTCTTTCCTCCTTTCCTTCTTTATTCTTCTCTATCTCTCTCTTTCTTTTTCTTTCTTTTTCTTTCTTTCTCTTTCTTTCTCTCTCTTCCTCTCTTTTTCTCTCTTTCTCTACTCTATTTCTCTCTCTTTCCTTCTTTATTCCTCTCTTTATCTCTCCTTTTTCTTTTTCTTTTTCTTTTTCTTTTTCTTTTTCTTTTTCTTTTTCTTTTTCTTTTTCTTTTTCTTTTTCTTTTTCTTTCTCTCATTTTCTTTCTCTCTCTTCCTCTCTCTTTCTCTCCTTCTCTCTTTCTCTCTTTCCTTCTTTATTCCTCTCTTTATCTCTCTTTCCTTCCCTCTTGCTTTTTTATTCTTTCTTTTCTTTCTTTCTTCCTTTCTTTCTCTCTTTCTTTCTTCTCTGTCTCTCTCTCTTTCTCTTTTTGCCACTCATGCTTTCTTTCTCTCTTGTTCCCATTCTCCACTCCCTTTCCCTCTCACACACTTCTTGCTCTTTCTTTCTCGCCTGCTCGCTCACTCGCCCTCTCTTTCTTTGATCCTCTGTCTCGTTTCCCCCCTCTCTCGGTTTTTCCCTCGCCTCACTTCTTCCCGTCTCTGCTTCTCTCTGTCCCTGTCCCCTCTCCTCCTCTCCCGCCCAGTATTCCCGCGCAACCGGGGACTCGGTGGGGTGCCGGTGGGGCGGTGCAAGCCCTTCGGTGTCCCCTGGGGGGCAGCACACGCCGCGCCGAGCCCCCGGGGCGGGCAGGTGAGCGCTGCTCCCGCCACCGACACCGGCCGCCCTGAGCCCCCCGCCCGCCCCGGGGCCCGGTACGACGGGCAAACGCCGCTCCCGGAGTCCCGCGGAGGACGGGGGAGAGAAACCGGCGGTGCCCGGGAGGAGAGAGTGCTCCCCCCGTGCCTCTCGCTCTCTCGCTTGAAAGGACTCCTCTCTTTTCTTTTCCCCCCTTTGGAAGCTGGCGATTTTTCGTAGCGATGATTTTATTTTATTTTTCTTTTCCTTCTTGCCATTCGAAGTTTGGGCTTTTCGGAGCCCGTCGGTTTAGTCTCTGTCAAATTCCCCACGGCAGCCAGCAAAGACCTAGTGCTGCTTCTCGGTTTTGTGTAGAAATTCATCTCGGTAAAGTTTTCAGCCGAGAAGAGGTAAGATTCAAACAAGGTTATTTCTCGAGAGCGTACCAGGCTTCTAGGAAAGGACAGCTCTAGGACGCCGCAGGGGTGGCTTTGGTCAAGCTTTTGCATCTAAAAATTCCTGCCTTTTAAAAAGTTATATTGTTTAAGAAATCCCGTGTGCTTATGTACGCTAAGAAAACGCCCTAGTTTTTATGAGAAATGTGATTTCTTTGAAAACCGAAGTTAAAATCGTGAAATCGTTCTCAAATTATTCCGGGGAAAAAAATAAAATAAAATAAAAGTTTTCTCGACGGTCGTACATCTACATGAAAAGTATCAAGCAGACCTCGCAGAATTTACTATTTGTTTTCATAAAAAATCCCCCGGACATTTGCTCGGTTGATGAAACCCTCCCAGGCAATTTACATTTATTTCCATCAAAATTAAATAACGATTTCGAAGCGTCCGGCGAAACTTTCCAATCAATTTTTCCATCGCAGATAGTTTTTAACCTTATATCCCTGTAGAGGAACTGTGTCTTTTTTTTTTTTTTTCTTTTTACCCCCCGTTTATCTCATAAAATCGTTTCCTTTCTTATTAAGAAAATCTCCGGTAATTAGCCCCGCCGAGTTCCCACGGCCGGAGCCGGCTGCGGTCTCGTCCCCACCGCCCCGGCTGGGAGCGGGGAAGGGACCTTCTCACCAGCGGCCAGAAAAAAATCACAGTCTGACTTTGGGAGGGAAAAAAAAAAAAAAAGAAAAAAAATCTTTCTTTAAAGCCTTACGAAGCCCCACAAATTGCATGGAGGGAAAGGCAGAATTACAGTGTAAGAAACCAAAAGATCACCGCTGAGAAATCAGAGCAGGAGCAGCCGGGCTCGGGGGG